TTCGCTTTTGAAACCTCTGCGAGCCCGAGAAAAAGACCAAATTAAGAGTATGCAATTAGAGGTACTAAATGCCTGTGAAAGTTAACTGATATAAAATAACAAAAACAATACTGAGAATCTTTGCACACTAGGAGCCTACGAAAGAGAGTACTAAAACGAAGATATATAGAAGAATAAAACGGAATGACCAGAGTTTTATAAGTAGATAAGGGGGCTGGCTGCAGAAGTAATATAATGAGAAAAAGAGAAAGGAAACGAATCACAAGCTAAGGGATATACTGAAAAAAGATAAATAATTAGTACGAAAGAATGCAATAACAAAGACATTTTAGTCATCTAAATGGTTCACTAAAAACATTCCCTCGGCTTCGCGCTATGTATAGAGTATCCCAATCTTGTATAGTCGCCAAGTTCCTTGTATAGAACAAGAAAATTTATAGGCTAGAATTCGGGATGGAAAGTCAAAGAAAACGATGGAGTGTGATGTCGATGCACAGGGGGTCATAAAGGGCAAAAGGGGAAGCAGAGAACAGTCTCCAGTTGAAGGAAATTCTGGCTTGTGTATTTATGTACTTTTAAGGAATAGGAATGCTGGTATGCTTTTATGTGCAATCAGTGAATATAAATAGTTCAGGAAAGAAAATAGTAACGGTACTGTTACAACTACTCATTTCACACTCGATTGATACAGCAATAGAAGCAGGGATGGAGAGTTGCCACAACGGTTGGAGAGAAAATTGGTAGAGATTGCTTTCACTTGGTACTCGACGGGTTGTAACTCCGTTTTAAGGATGTCGTCCCTGAATTACAATGTCGACCAAGTTGCGAAAACAAGGTCGAGCAACCTCTATCTAGGATATAATTTGAGCAATCGGAAACGGAATCCCTCCTTAGAAAAATAGGATAAATCAACAAAACATCTGATAATGCTTCCAATCAACAGTCTCATCTCGGAAGAAAGCTTGGCAATAATGACGGAAGACTAAGGAGTACATTCTTGGAAGTCTATCTGTAAACGCTAGTAGGTTGTGAAAACGAGATCAAACCAACGAAGTATATAAAGGAGACTAAGGCAGAGCTAATATCACAAAATTTAAAGATGAGTTGAGGTGTAAGGAAGGCCAATGGATCACACTCTTCTAGACATATGGAAGATAACCTTCCAATACGAAACGGATCGCAGACGTCATAAGCACATATAGAGGTTAAAATAAAGGATGTGTGAATTCGAAGCAAACATACTAAACCCTAGGTTATTTAGCCTTATTGCCTTTTATTTGTAAGGGAGGAAAGAAGGTTCATCGTCCAAAAGGTAACTTAATAGCACGGGGCTTGAGTAGTACTCAAGCTAAAAAATGAATTCCCAATGCAATGTACACATACGTACTTACCCTTTGCGCAATCAAAGGAAATACTGGACGAAATATAATTTACTGAGTATAGTGCATGTCTTGTAAAACCGTCAGTACTGCCATATTCTCCTAAGGAAAGAATTAAACATTTGGTTATTAAGAGAGTAGGACTACAGTTAGCCATTCTTCTTGGCCAAATGCTCTTTTTTATCGTTCTCGTTATGTTTGTGAAAAAAACAGAGGAAAGTTCAGCAGAGATCCATCACGGCCGAGAGACGATGCATATTGGGCATATTTCGGTGATACAACTCTGTAAATTCCTTTCATCAAAATTTTCATAATAAAACGGAATAAATGAAATGAGAATTAAGAACGATAGAAAAATGTTGGGATTGTATACAATGCTTACTATTTGAGAATGATGAGACTTAAGCAGATAAAGCTCCCAAAGACAAGCACTTGCAGGTCGTGCAAACTCCGGATCATCGACATCAGGAAGATAGGGCCCCCCTATTTCAGCATCAACATCAAAGAGTACTTCACAGCGAGGGAACATACGGAGATAATGCAAAATACGTATCAACATGGATGCAGTGCACGCAGGATCAGTCTAATTGAAACAAAATGCAATATTTCTTCAGTAACACAAAGGCGAATAAAAATAATATGACATATAGTAACCTTAATTGATAAAAATAAAGAAAAAAGATCATTTAGTCAATAATGAGAGTTAGCGCATTAAATAAAACCTCAGATCATAATTTAGCATTACACAGAGAAAGAATAATATCGTGAAGATAGTGTAAATGAACACACTTCTGTAATAATTAGCTGGACATATTCGCGAAGCATACGCGGTAAACAAATCATAAGCCAAAGTTGGTAGTTGATTCTCAAAAATAGTGTGATGGGAAAAAGTAATTAATAGAAGATAATTTTTAATTATTTGCTTCCAATACAACTAGGAGAATAAGTAACACAAGAAAAAGAATTTGCACTAGTTTCTTCAGCCGTTTTCTGTGTCAAAATGTCATAAGTGAGCAATTAGGACAATCAAAAGAGATTTAGGGTGATAGCAAAGGTATAAAGTAGGTTGATTAATTAGGATAAATGCTTATAAATTAAACCAACTAGTTAAGTTTGATTACCTTAGATAACGATAAGGTGAGCGGCTGAGCGAATAAAATAGATAGAATAATTACTCATAATGAGTAAGTTTCGATTCTAAAAGTGGGTTTATGAATAATAACTATAGGAAATTAGGTAAAATTCAACTATTAGTCCGTTAGCTTATGCGAGCTATGGTGACGAGGCATAAAAATAAATAAATATCTTAATGATACAAAGTCAAATTCTTTTAGTATAAGAACCGTTTAGAGCTATAAGGTGCAAGAAAGAATGTAGCAAGCAAAATACCAATACTCTCCGACCAAGTTGCGAAAACGAGGTCGAACTAGCATTATAAGGCTAAATAAGACTGCGAACAAACAGAAGGGCACACCATCTTGGTATTCCTATCTACGAAATACCATCAAGTATGAAAAAGCATTACTTCATTATCTCATAAAGTATATTTTGGGGGAATGGTCATAGGCCTTCCCACAAAAAGATCCACTAGATTGATGTACTGGTTAAGATAATAGCTTGAATAGACAAAGCACGAGAAGAGGCTAATAATATTAAGGAGCTAGAGATGATTCCTTATTTTGCTCAAGTAAACATGCCCTTAAGGAGTGCGAAATAGGGTGGAAATGAATCTACTTCTTACGATGTCATTGTATTTCACCAAACCTTGCCTCCAAACAGTTTACTTCATCCAGTGTAGACTGCATTTTATACCGCGCCACATCGTCTCATCAACATTCTCAGAGCAATTCGATATCGGGCCGTGAGTATACTAGCGACGTTTATCACCCCACTAGAAAATTGCATTCACGCTACAGGCAAGGCTAAGTGAAATTTAGTAGTATAGTGGGGCTTATTTATTTCATTGTGGGTAAAACCCAATTATCTGTACTTAAAATCACCTAAGTAATTGAAGGTGACTAAGTTCTTGTCCAAGAGGAAACCGAAATAGTCAGGTAATAAATTAAACGTAAAGAATTTGGTTAGGAAGTTAAGTAAGAATAACTTGTACTTAACTGATAGTGTTGAACCCCCCCCCCGATGACGACGTATTCAGCTCGTGCGGTTATCGATTTAATAATACATATTTTAAAGAAATCTCAAAAGCTCCGCAGAAAATAATGGTGCGTTTCCTGAGTCAAAAG